ATGGTCATGTGGCCGGCATGACTGCATGGAGCGGCGGAGCAGCTGCCCTTGGCTGGCTCACACTGCCCATTGGACCTGATAGATAGCGTGAGCCTCCCAAGGGAGGGGCAGCCCCGCAATGCCTACTCACGAGGTGCTTTACACGCGAGTAGGCCACGCGGAGCAGCTGCCCTTGGCTGGCTCACGCTGCCCATCGGACCTGACGGATAGCGTGAGCCTGCCAAGGGAGGAGCAGCCCCGCGTGGCCTACTCACAAGGTGCTTTACGCGTGAGTAGGCGACGCGGAGCAGCTGCCCTTGGCTGGCTCACGCTGCCCATCAGGCCTGATGGAAAGCGTGAGCCAGCCAAGGGAGGGGCACTGTGGGGGGGGCGCTCCTCCTCCACGGGCTGGATAAGTGCCCTTGGCGGGCTGGAAGTGGCCCACGGGCCGTAGTTTGGGGACCCCTGCACTAGAGAAAAAAAATCCACTTAAAATCCGGTTTCTGCCTCCTGCAGAATTCTAGGGGTTGTAGTTTAGGGAGGAGCCATTAGGATGCAGAAACTGGATTTTTTTCCCATTTTTAAAAATTTAAGTAGACATACATTTGCAAGTGTTTGTTGCATACAGTGCAATACTTTCTATCTATTAATGTTCCATAATCATTTGTCTGATAATATATTTCCTTTAAGGGGTCACAGTCTACTATCTTCTATATCAGGGGTCCTCAAACTAAGGCCTGGGGGCCGGATGCAGTCCTCCAAAGTCATTTACTCGGCCCTTGCACAGGGTCAACCTAAGTCTGAAATGAATTGAAAGCACACATCATCAACAACAACAATGCTATCTCATCAGCCAAAAGCAGGTCCACACTTCCCATTGAAATACTAATATGTTTATGTTAAAATTGTTCTTCATTTTAATTATTGTATTTTTAAGTGTTTTTGCACTACAAATAAGATATGTATCGTGTGCATAGGGATTTATTCATTTTTTTCAAATTATAATCTGGCCCTCCAACAGTTTGAGGGACTGTGACCTGGCCCTCTGTTTAAAAAGTTTGAGGACCCCTGTTCTATATAAATAAAAATGTAATGTTCGTTTGTGGGATTAACATAACTCAAAAACCACTGGACGAATTGCTGCCAAATTTGGCCACAAGACATCTATTAACCCAAGGAATGACCATCACTCAAAAAAATTGATTTTGTCATTTGGAAGTTGGAGTTGCTGGGATTTATAGTTAACCTACAAAGAACATTCTGAACCCCACCAACGATGGAATTGAACCAAACTTGGCACACAGAACTCCTATGACCAACAGAAAACACTAGAAGGGTTTGGTGGGCATTGACCTTGAGTTTGGGAGTTGTAGTTCACCTACATCCAGAGAGCTCTTTGGACTCAAACAATGATAGATCTGGACCAAACTGGGCAGGAATATTCCATGTGCGCAAATATGAACACAGATGAAACTTGGGGGAAATAGACCTTGACGTTTGGGAGTTGTAGTTGCTGGGATTTATAGCTTAGTTTGCTTTGAGTTGAGTTGCCACTTGGCAGAGCAGCCATTTTTAACTGTCAGTCTGTGGTCGGTGAACTACAGAGTTGGTTGATCCTGTGGTGTGTGGAAAACCAGCAGGAATCCTATAGTTAGAGAACTATAGGGGATGACTGATTCTTTAATATTAATATTAAGAATCAGGGTTTGGCTTTGAGCCCGTATAGTGAGATAAGTTAGGTGACTTATTTATATTAAAAGAACCATCATAAAGCAAAGATAAGCGTGTGCCTGAACCAATCTGTAAAAGAAAGAAACATATTTTTAAAGAAACTGTTTGAAACCTGTTTAGAGGAAGGAAGAGCCCTTCCCAGAGTTATTCAAGAAACGTTATAAATGCAACCTATGAAGTTTTGTGCCTCTCAGAGTTAAGTAACATTGAATCCATCATACTTCTACATTCTAATAAACTTGTTACTATTTTTTCTAAAGCCTTGCCCCTCTGCTCTGGAACTCTCTCCCGTTGGAGATTAGATCTGCCTCTTCCCTCCTGACTTTCAGAAAGCTGGTAAAAACCTGGCTTTGGAATATAGCATTTGCAGAATGATGATTGAGTCAATAACGGCTGACCACACCGGCGGATGGTGATGAATTTGTGATTTATCTATGGCAAGCATCCTCAGAGGTAGTGATGTCTGTTGGAACTAGGAAAAGGGGTTTATATATCTGTGGAAAGACCAGGGTGAGACAAAAGACTCTTGTCTGCTGGAGCTAGGTGTGAATGTTTCAACTGACCATCTTGATTAGCATACAATGGGCTGACTGTCCCTGGAGCAAACTTTGCTACGTTCAGTAAAGGACAAGAGGGATCCTCTCACTTCTGCAGGAGTCTACCATGTACCATGCAGCTGTGGACAAGTAGGGACCACCAAACGCAGCATTGGCCAAACACAAATCAAGGAACATGAAAGGCACTGCAGACTACTTCAACCAGAGAAGTCAACCATAGCAGAGCACCTGATGAACCAACCTGGACACAGCATATTATTTGAGAACACAGAAATGCTGGACCACTCTCACAACCACCATGTCAGACTACACAGAGAAGCCATTGAAATCCACAAGCATGTGGACAATTTCAACAGAAAGGAGGAAACCATGAAAATGAACAAAATCTGGCTACCAGTATTAAAAAACTCTAAAATTGCAACAGCACAACAACAGAGAGGAAGTAGGCAGGGACATCTAATTACCTCTCAACAAAAGTTTGCTCCAGGCACAGTCAGCCCATTGTATGCTAATCAAGGTGGTCAGTTGAAACATTCACACCTAGCTCCAGCAGACAAGAGTCCTTTGTCCCACCCTGGTCATTCCACAGATATATAAACCCCTTTTCCTAGTTCCAACAGACCTCACTACCTCTGAGGATGCTTGCCATAGATGCAGGCGAAACGTCAGGAGAAAATGCCTCTAGACCATGGCCATACAGCCCGAAAAAACCTACAACAACCCAACATTCATTAGTCATAAGCTACGCTATCAAACTAAATAAACCCTCATTAAGTGGGGGCACCCTTGCAAACGGTTTACACATTGGTGGCAGTAAAATAACGCTTCCTCACAATGCTTCCCCACAGAAGGGCCCTCAGCGAAGAACAGTTCTAGCCCCTCCAAATCAAATCTGCCAAAAAGGTACAGACCAAAGGCCTGAATTGCCCCACTTGAGGTCTGTAGGGGTAAAGTTGGGTTCTGTTGGAGGAGGGAAGGTAATAATAATAATAATAATAATTAAAAAAAAACGTTATTTGTACCCCGCTACCATCTCCCCCGGTGGTGCAGTGGGTTAAAGCACTGAGCTGCTGAGCTTGTTGATCGAAAGGTCGCAGGTTCGATTCCGGGGAGCGGCGTGAGCTTCCGCTGTCAGCCCTAGCTTCTGCCAACCTAGCAGTTCGAAAACATGCAAATGTGAGTAGATCAATAGGTACCGCTCCGGCAGGAAGGTAACGGCGCTCCATGCAGTCATGCCGGCCACATGACCTTGGAGGTGTCTACGGACAACGCTGGCTCTTCGGCTTAGAAATGGAGATGAGCACCACACCCCAGAGTCAGATATGACTGGACTTAATGTCAGGGGACTACCTTTACCTTTACCTTTATGTTTCATTGAGGCTTTGGCCTGTGTAAGCCACATCGAGTCCTTCGGGAGATGCTAGCGGGGTACAAATAAAGTTAATAATAATAATAATAATAATAATAATTGTTCATCTGGAGAGGCCCTGCTTGTGATTCCACCTGCGTCGCAGGCGGTCTGGTGGGGACGCGAGACAGGGCCTTCTCTGTGGTGGCCCCCCGACTCTGGAACACCCTCCCCAAAGATCTTAGACAGGCCCCTACGTTGGCAGTCTTTAGGAAGAACTTGAAGACCTGGCTGTTCTGATGTGCCTTTCCAGAATAGGAAAACTCCAACAACAAGTCCCAGAAGCACTTTATTAGAAATTAAGATTGCTGCACACTGCACTTACCCTATAATCCTTACATATCACCTGTCACATCAGCACTTTTAATCTTGTACCCATTACCTGGCCCAGTTTTATAGTGTCTTGATGTATTTTTTATTGCTTGTTGTTTAATGTTGCTTTAACTGTTTTTAATTTGCTTTAGGTGTTGTATTGTATTGTGTTTTGAGGCCTTGGCCTTTGTAAGCCGCATCGAGTCCTTCGGGAGATGCTAGCGGGGTACAAATAAAGTTAATAATAATAATAATAATAATAATATATTAGAAGGGCCCAAAATACCTTTCGGACCGCATCTCGGCCTATGAGCCCACGAGGGCCTTGAGATCGTCTGGGGAGGCCCTTCTCTCGATCCCGCCTGCCTCACAGGCACATCTGGCGGGGACGAGAGAGAGGGCCTTCTCAGTGGTGGCCCCCTGGCTGTGGAACACCCTCCCTGTTGACATCAGACAGGCGCCCTCCCTTATGGCTTTCCGCAAGAGCCTAAAGACCTGGCTATTCGAGAAGGCATTTAATTGAGAGCTACACGAATCTGGTAATGACAACAGGAACGGATTATGGATTATGAGATTGGCTATGATTCTATGTTGTGACGGTGCGGATTTGTTAGTGTGATTTAGATTAATGTGTAATATGGTTGTGTTGATATATTGTGTGCCTTTGTAAACTGTTTTTATATGTTGTACACCGCCGCGAGTCGCCCCAGGGCTGAGAGCGGCGGTCAACAAATGCAGTAAATAAATAAATAAATAAATAAATAAATAATTCTGTTGGAGGAGGGAAGGTAGCCTTAGGGCCCTCCAACACAACAGAAAATCCCAAAATATCTACTTTGAACTGGGTTACCTGAGTCCACACTGCCATATAGTCCAGCTCAAAGCAGATAATGTGGGGTTTTATTCAGCTGTGAGGAAGGTATTCTATTCCAGAGAGCCTTTTCATGCGGCGGAACCCTTTCCTCGCGCTATAGTTCCCAGGCAGGGGGAAGCCTTTCGCAACCGGACTCGAGCCGCGCGCAATTCCTTGGTACGCGGGCGGTTGCCGTAGCAACAGGCGGTGTGTTCCTCGTGCGGCGGCCTAGTCCTTCTGGCCATGGCGTGGCGGGGCACGTTGGTGGCGGCGAGAAGGTGGCTGAGCCGGGCCAGGAGCGCGAAGGAGGACGGGAGGGTGCAGGCCCTGCTGGAGGGCGCCCTGGTGGAGAAGGAAGAGGGGGAGGGAGAGGAGGAGAGCGCAGGCGAAGGGCTCCGGGGCCCGCGGCGCTCCCCGCAGGACACCTCGGTGCTGCTCTTCCCAGGCCAAGGCAGCCAGTTCGTGGGGATGGGACAAGGCCTGCTGCGCTACCCCAGCGCGAGGGAGCTCTTCCGCGCGGCCGAGGAGGTGCTGGGCTACGACCTCCTGGGCCTCTGCCTCCACGGGCCTAAGGCCCAGCTGGACCGCACCGTCCACAGCCAGCCCGCCGTCTTCGTCGCCTCCCTGGCCGCCGCGGAGAAGCTGCACCACCTGGAGCCCTCGGTGAGCCAGCAGGAAGGCCCGGCCATGGCAGGACACTCGACAGGCAGGCCCTGCGCAGCCCTTCCACACAGCCAGATCGCCCAAAGATCAGCTTTGAACTCCATTATCTGAGTCCACACTGCCATATAACCCAGTTCAATGTGGATTTTATACAGCTGCGTGGAAGGGGCCTCAGGCTACTATACATCATATCAGAATTTTATATGGCAATGTAGAAGGGGCCTCAGTTAAAGCTTTCCAATCCTTGTTTCCACAAAAAGCCACATGTTTCAATTCTCACAAGGAAAGAATGTGAAGTGAAGGCCCCTTCTGCACTGCCATATAAAATCCAGATTATCTGTTTTGAACTGGATTATATGGCAGTGGAGACTCGGGCCCCTATTTATTTATTTACTGTATTTGTATACTGCCTTTCTCAGCCCGTAGGTGACTCAGTGGTAACACGGTAAAATTAAATGCTTACAATATTATAACTACAATTAAAAACATAACATATAATAAAAAATTAAACATATCAATAAAATATAAATTCATAGTGTCTTCTTGTTAAAAACGTCCGGTCTCGTTGTCATTCCGTTTTCCTATGTCAGTTATTCTGCATTTGGAAACACTTGCTCAAAAAGCCACGTCTTGATTTTTTCCGGAATGTTAAAAGGGAAGTGGCCGATCTAATATCTATAGGGAGGGCATTCCACAGCCAAGGGGCCACCGCCAGGAAGGCTCTGTCTCTCATCTCCACCAAACGTACTTGTGACGAAGGCGGTAACAAGAGCAGGGCCTCCCAGAAGATCTTAAGGTCCTAGGTGGTTCATAAGGGGAGATGCATTTGGACTTGTAAATTGTGCCAGAACCGTTTAGCCATATAATCCAGATTATTTATTTATTTATTTATTTATTTTAGTTGTCGTGTCAGGGCAACCAGTCAATTATATTACATTTCTAACCGAACAATGGCTTCTCTGTGTAGTCTGACATGGTGGTTGTGAGAGTGGTCCAGCATTTCTGTGTTCTCAGATAATATATTATATGCCATTTTTTTCTTCTTGAGTTGTTTTAGGGCATAACAACAACTGTTTTAAGCTGTAATCTATATTTTAAAATCCTCAAAGCCTGTTACATCTCCATGGCACCAGTCTTAATAAATTCAGGGAAAGTATATTGAATTTTCTCAGCTTGAAAGTTTACAGTTTTAAATTAGTGTCTAGTTTTTTTTTAACACATTGTTAATATTTTGAAACTTCACATTTCTACAGGTAGTTGAAAATTGTGTCGGAGCTGCTGGTTTCAGCATTGGAGAATATGCAGCCCTTGTTTTTGCAGGAGCCATTGACTACCCAGAAGGTATAAAGAGAATATCCATGCACTTTTGTCCTTCTCATCGTGTTCTTGCAGTGCCAGTGTAGCAACATGGTTAATATACAGATATATTAGTCCATGCCTGCCATTCCATGTGTTCATCCTAAATTACACCTGTGTTTTTTTTCATAAGTCACAGAATGAAGCTGTGCATATTTCTGTTGTTTGAGACTAAAACTAAACCTGAAGTGAGTTGTTTTCACTTCTTTTTGCTATGTTACAAACATTTATTCAGAATTCATTTTGTAGGAACATATGTTTTGGGTTGTTGTAGGTTTCTATATGGCCATGTTCTAGAGGCATTTTCTCCTGACGTTTTGCCTGCATCTATGGCAAGCATCCTCAGAGGTAGTGAGGTCTGTTGGAACTAGGAAAATGGGTTTATATATCTGTGGAATGACCAGGGTGGAACAAAGGACTTTTGTCTGCTAGGTGTGAATGTCCTGTTTGTTTCCCCTCTGTTGTTTTGCTGTAATTTTAGAGTTTTTTAATACTGGTAGCCAGATTTTGTTCATTTTCATGGTTTCCTTCTTTCTGTTGAAATTGTCCACATGCTTGTGGATTTCAATGGCTTCTCTTTGTAGTCTCGTGAGAGTGGTCCAGCATTTCTGTGTTCTCAAATAATATGCTGTGTCCAGGTGGGTTCATCAGGTGCTCTGCTATGGCTGACTTCTCTGGTTGAAGTAGTCTGCAGTGCTCCTTTCATGTTCCTTGATTCGTGTTTGGGCAATGCTGCATTTGGTGGTCCCTATGTAGACTTGTCCACAGCTGCATGGTATACGGTTGACTCCTGCAGAGGTGAGAAGATCCCTCTTGTCCTTTGCTGAACGTAGCAACAACAGAGAGTAAACAATCAGGCACATCAAATCACTCTCAACAAAAGATTCCCCCCAGGCACTTCCAAGCCATTAAATGCTAATCAAGGTGGTCAGTTGAAACATTCACACCTAGCTCCAGCAGACAAATGTCCTTTGTCCCACCCTGGTCATTCCACAGATATATAAACCCATTTTCCTACTTCCAACAGACCTCACTACCTCTGAGGATGCTTGCCATAGATGCAGGCGAAACGTCAGGAGAAAATGCCTCTAGAACATGGCCATATAGCCCGAAAAACCTACAACAACCCAGTGATTCCGGCCATGAAAGCCTTCGACAATACAACATACGTTTTATTTAGGATGCTACTTTGAAAAAAAAACCACAGGTCAATAAATGAGAATTACAGTCTTTCATCCAGTTTGGTACACGTGAAAGGCCAGTTTGCATATACAAGTATACAATTAGAATTGGGGTATGATCAGTAAATATTCCAGTAGCTAGCTTTTTCAAAATGAAATCTTTTTGGAAGGAAGGTGGCATGTAAATTAGATAAAATAAATACTAAATGATAAATGTCAGCATTCTTGTCTTTTTTATTTTGTGAATTGCATTAAAATGGGTATTAGTTTTTGAGATGTTGCAACCATAATTTTTCAGTAACATTAACTTACCTCAAAATGAGAGACATTTCTTTACATTTTCTGTTATTTCCTAAGCCTTATATGCAGTAAAGGTGCGTGCTGAAGCGATGCAAGAGGCCTCCGAGGCTGTCCCGAGTGGAATGCTGTCTGTCATTGGCCGGAATAACTCAGATTATTTTGCTGCTTGCTTTGAAGCTCGCGAATACTGCAAGTCAGTGGGAATAGAAAATCCAGTATGTGAAGTTTCAAATTATTTGTTCCCAGATAGCAGAGTCATTGCAGGACATTTGCAGGTATTCTTCCAAAATTTTAAACTATTTTATTGATTTTTATTTGTTTGGTTTTTTAAAAATAGCATTGTTGCTAGCAACCAGGACCCAGAATGATTTATTCTTAAATTTTTATTTATTTTTATTTTGAACATTTTTACCCCACCCTCCTCAACCGCTAGGGGGACTCAGGGCGGCTTCCAATTGGCAACAATTCGATGTCGCATCATAAAATACAAAACAGTAATTATAACAGTTAAAAAGCATAAACATTAAGACATAAAAATTAAAACAGTATACTTACAGTCCATTGAGCTATTACCAGTCTGGTGGCTATATATCTAGCCATATACTATTGAGTACTCCGCTTAACTTATCCAAATCCACTTCCAAGCCATAGACAAACATCTATATAAATAAAAATGTAATGTTAGTTCGTGCTACCATCAGAACTCAAAAACCACTGGGGGAATTGACACCAAATTTGGACACAAGACACCTAACAGTCCAATTTATGTCCTCCACTCAAAAATTGATTATCTCATTTGGGAATTGTCGCTGCTGGGATTTATAGTTTACCTACAATCAAAGAGCATTCTGAACTCCACCAATGATGGAATTGGGCCAAACTTAGCACACAGGGCTCCCATGACCAACAGAAAAAACTGGAAGGGTTTGGTGGACATTGACCTTGAGTTTGGGAATTATAGTTCACCCACATCCAGAGAGCACTGTGGACTCAAACAATGATGGATCTGGACCAAACTTGGCACGAATATTCCATATGCCCAAATATGAACACAGATGGAGTTTAAGGGAAATAGACCTTGACATTTGGGAGTTGTAGTTGCTGGGATTTATAGTTCACCTACAATCAAAGAGCATTCTGAACTCCACCAATGATGGAATTGAACCAAATTTGGCACACAGAACACACAGAACATACTGAAAGGGTTTGGTGGGCATTAACCTTGAGTTTTACAGTTGTACTTCACCTACATCCAGAGAGCACTGTGGACTCAAACAATGGTAGATCTGTACCAAACTTGGGACAAATACATATGCCCAAATATGAACACAGATGGAGTTTGGGGAAAATAGACCTTGACATTTGGGATTTGTAGTCACTGGGATTCACAGTTCACCTACAATCAAAGAGCATTCTGAACCCCACCAATGACAAAATCAGGGCAAACTTCCTACACAGAACCCCCATGCATGACCAACAGAAAATACTTAGGGCCATCCATTCCAACTCCCTTCATCAGGGCAAGAAAACGTAATCAGAGCCCTCCTGACAAAGAGCCATCCAGTCATAAATATAGATAGATATGATTCTCACACACACACACAGATATAGTATCATAGATTTGAAAGAGACCCTTAAAGAAGGACTATGATATGTTGCATATTCCAGAGTAGGCAAACCAGACACTCTCCACATCAACACTGACAAAGAAACAAGAAATACTGTTTACTCACAAGCATAAAGGAACTACATATATTAGAAACCAACACTTTCTCATTACTTTATTTTCCTGATCACCAGACTGGGACACAGCAACGTGTGGCAGGGGACAGCTAGTGATCAATAAATCTCTTTTATTACATGTTTCTAGTGAAAGAGATTTGTTTGCTTGTTGTACATACTAATTTTTTATCCTGCATTTTTCTTAAAAAGTAACTTATTAATAACCGTACATTCATTTTTAAAATTCATTGTTAAGAGCATATTTGCAATAGTAAAAATAATACCATTCGTCTGCAAAATAAATTAGTGTTTCATATCTGGAATTAAATGAATAAAAATGAAATTATTTTTACCTGCTTTCTGAACGTTTAGATTTAGCCAGTGCATTAATGTGGTTAGTACTGGCATTACATACTCTTACTATCGAACTCTGGGAAAACTCATGTTTTCTGAAGCTTCCAGCTTATGTTCAAGGACAGGCTTGCTGAGATGTTTTTTCCATTCGAGTTCATCTGGCATGATAAAATTTCTATATTTGAGGCTCCGTTCTTTTACCATTAAGTGTTGAACTGCCAGTAGTATTTACACTAATGCTTATTAACCCCCCACCCCGAGTATATTTCTGTCACTGAGTATGCCAATGTATAGACACAATGCATCTGCAATTTTTCAAAGAATTTATGTATATAATAGTTCTTGATTTGATAAGTTCTGATAGTTCTGGATTTTGTTTTTCTTCTTTCAGGCTTTGGAATATTTACAGAAAAATTCTAAGAAATACGCATTTGCACGGGTAAAAATACTGCCAGTTAGTGGTGCTTTCCACACTCGCCTTATGGAATCTGCCATGGAACCTTTGTCTGAAGCCCTCAAATCAATTACCATTCGACAGCCTCTTATCTCTGTCTATTCAAATGTGAACGGCCAAAAATATACGAACTCAAAACAGATCCAGCAATTGTTAGTGAAGCAATTGGTTTTGCCAGTGAAATGGGAACAAACAATACATGCTATCTATGAAAGGAAAAAAGGAACAGCTTTTCCTTGCTCATATGAAGTTGGTCCTGGGAAGCAGCTAGGAGCAATCCTTAAAAGTTGCAATTTGAAGGCTTGGAAATTCTACAAAAATATTGACGTTTCAGAAGACGTTGCAAAAGACAACACATAAATTTGCCTGCAGGAGATGTGTTCATGGTACATTCTGCTCATTTGCTTTTAAGTAGATTTGCCGAGAGCTGCAAATGACATCCTAATCTCACCTTGAGGAATGTGGATTCTTGTCCTCGGCACAGGGAGTGCTGCGCACTTTCACTGCTGGTATCAGGTTTGTACTCAGTTACTGTGAAGAGAATAATTACTTGTTGTCATACGAGCTGAAGTAATGTCCAGAGTCACTCTGGGTGCCACTTGGTCAAATGGACAAATATACCCACAATCTTCTACAAATGAATTATTCCAGTGATGGATGTCAACATGATCCATAGAGTTGGGTTGGTTTGCTGTATTGTTTTTGACTTTGAAGAATCATTGATATTAAAAATGCTTTAAACATTGATTTGTTTTGCATTGCATCAGCGGGTGGGAATTTCACTTGGTAAAAGAATATTCCTAGTGTGTGTACAACAGAAAACAGGATATCCTTTTCTAGTATGTTCTTCCTGGGGCAAATGCATTGGCCTAGTGGTTCTTCCCAGTTGTATTTTTGAAAGCTGTGTTTTGAGAACCGTAATGATCTGTATCTGTTGAAAGACAAAGAATTTCGAAGGAGGTAGTCAGAATAATTTATTGGTATTGTTCACTGTTTATGGATTAGAATATCTACTTTAAGTGGTGTCTCTGAAAATAAAGAGCATCTCTTGTATACCTTGTAAGAGACAAAGTTCATAATTTGTTTTTGTTTTTTTAAAATATTTTTATTATTTTATCATGGTTCAATACATTTGTTATACATTATTTTACAGCAGATACATATTATTCAATACAACCTAACATACTTTGGCATCTAGTGTTATTTTTCTGCTTATACATATTGTCTATCTCTCACCGCTGTGCTCCCCACCCCTCCAAAGCCACAGCTTTTACATATCATCTGTCCAAAATTTCAATTCTTCTTGTGGAGTTAACTTTCCTTCTTTCTTTTGAAATACTTTTTCAATAATTTTTCTCCATACATCATCAATATCACTTCGTTTTCTAACCCTGGTGTAGCGAATTTGTTGATCTATGTTAAATTTTTGATGTATAGCTCTATGTTGCAATGTGGCAGAATTGGCAGAAATAGGGTAGCAACAGTAGAGGCAAGATTAATTTGCATACGTGCAGCCGATTGGTCGTATGCAGATGAGTGTAGGCCAGGATTTGAAAGGGCCACTGAGCTAGAATGGCAGTTGGGGGGAAGAGAGCTTAACATTCCAAAGGGGCGGAGGGCAGTTTAAAAATAGGCAGTTAGAAAGTCAGAAGAGGGCAGTTAGGGATTCCTGTTTGTGAAGGACAGTTAGGAACTTCTGTGAGAGAAAAGCAGTTAGGAAAATGGAGCTTAAGTTTTAAGGAAAATAAAGAAGTGCCGGTGTGGTTTAAGGCGGAATATGGTTCTGTCAAGAGTGTATGAAAAAGTAACATATTTGTTGATGTGAAACAGTTGAAGTTTGATAGGAAAAGTTAACTAAGTGAATGATATTGAATGTAAGACTCAAGACTGTAACAGAACACACAAATGTAACCATAAGCGTTGGAGCCAGAAGCTATAAATAAACTTTGTTACTTCGTTTACTACAAGAGTGTCTCAAGCCTGTAATATAAAAGCCTCAAGGTAAAAGCTCACAAGAAAGCCCCAGCCAATTTAAAAAGGGGGAAATACATCAATACAAGGCAGTAAAAAGATTTAAAAGAAAATATTTTTCCCCTCACATCGTCACACATAAAAAGACACCCGTAAAAGGACTGAAGTAGTGAAAAGACGTCCCAACCTCTTTTAACTTTTAATATACATGTCAGCTTATAATTTATTGCCAATTTCCATACTTCCTTATACCACTCCTCTATTTGTATATTTATTTCTCTTTTACAAAGCTCATAATTTGGAAAGTGTCCAGTCTTCCATAGTTTTGCTCAAAGCTGTAATCAGAGAATGGTTCCAAGAGAAGTTATAGAAGTACTGTTAAGTCTAAGCAAGTAAAACTGATCCACAGCTAGGATATGAAACCACTGTTAAACCACATGTAGAGTTTGAAGGATGTGTAGGATGTACATTCAAGAAATATTGATATCTAAGGTAAATATGTGACATTTAAGGGGGAAGAAAGTTTTTAAAAATACTGGAGGTTTAACATTTACACAATTGGAAACAGTGGCTGAGTTTTAGATAATCTTTTGAGAGACATTTGAAGCAGCCTTCTGCCAGACGATGGCAGCAACGTGCAGTAATTTATTTAATTTTAGACTTGCTGGGGTCAGTCTTTCAAAGTGTGTATGTAATTTAAACTTGCATTTTTGTGCAGATAGCATCAGAGTTAGAAGGGGCCCAGCTAGACCAGCCCTAGAGATAACTGTCCAGTCTCTGAAAACATCCGGAGAAACCGCCCTGAGTCCCCCTTCGGGGGTGAGAAGGGTGGGGAATAAGTACAGTAAAGAAATAAAAAAAATAATTTCTCTAGGTTGCATTTTGAACTCCTCATGCTGTCCAGAAGCTCCTCCTAATGTTCAGTCAATCTGCCAGTAACTGAGAATCCTGAAATCTAGTTCTTATCTATAAACAGAAAACAAACTTGCATCCTCGTTTTTGTGGCAGTGTTTCAGATATTTAAAAAGCAATGATGTCACTCCTCGTTCTTGTCTTCACCATGCTGAACATGCCAAGTTCCTTTAATATTTAATGTTTTATTCTTCGGATCATCCTCATTACGCTTGTTTGTTAAAATAATGATTAGTGTGCAAAATATCTGAACTGCCGGAAAATCTACATCTCGTTATAATTTGATTAGCATTTTAGGAAGTAATGAAATTTATAACTCCACTAGCTGACCCCTGCCACACGTTGCTGTGGCCCACATGGAGGTTCTGTGTGGGAGGTTTGGCCCAGTTCTATCGTTGGTGGGGTTCAGAATGCTCTGTGATTGTAGGTGAACTATAAATCCCAGCAACTACAACTCCCAAATGTCAAGAGTCTATTTTCCTCAAACTCCACCAGTGTTCACATTTAGGCATATTGAGTATTCGTGTAGAGTTTGGTCCAGATCCATCATTGTTTGTGTCCACAGTGATCTCTGGATGTAGGTGAACTACAACTCCAAAACCAAAGTCATGCCCACCAAACCTTCCAGTATTTTCTGTTGGTCATGGGAGAATTGTGTGCCAAGTTTGGTTCGGTTCCATCGTTGGTGAGGTTCCGAATGCTCTTTGATTATAGGTGAACTATAAATCCCAGCAACTACAACTCCCAAATGACAAAATCTTTTTTTTTTTTTGAGTGAAGGATATACATTGGGTTGTTGGGTGTCTTGTGTCCAAATTTGGTGTCAATTCGTCCAGTGGTTTTTGAGTTCTGTTAATCCCACAAACGAACATTACATTTTTATTTATATAGATGAAGTAAGATGTCTTTAAAAGTAGATACTGAAAGATTTTAATTTCTATGTGGTTGAAAGAAAATCTGTATGGTTTTCACAGTAAATCTGTGTTTTGAAACACAAAATTTCAAGCCACAAAAATATAATGCACTGTGTAAGTATCACTGCAGGTTTTTAATGATTTGCATAGTCCCCAAGTTGCAAAAAAGCGGTTTGTTCTTAAGCTGAATTTGTGTGTAAGTCGGAATAGGTACATTTTAAAGTATATCTGCAGCCCCCCCCCCCCACACACACACTTTGGATAGCATAGGAAAGGGTGAACACCCCTGTATTTGTTTTGCTTTCTTTGTCCCTGTTCAGAGGATTTTACCTTACTTTCTGTCCTTGTAATAATTGGATTTTGAAAAAAATGGGCTTGTTGTGAAATGTGGCTCTCGAGATAAAGCTTCAGTGGAGACCCCTTTTCTCCCATTATAACTTCTGTGAGAGAATTTCCCTTCCTAAATGTTTCAAAGCCACAGTTTGATGGAGAGCACTTCCCTCCCAATGGTTTCTTTCTAGGACTTTTTTTTTTGTCATGTCAGGAGCGACTTGAGAAACTGCAAGTCGCTTCTGGTGTGAGAGAATTGGCCGTTGCAAGGACGTTGCCCAGGAGACGCCCTGGATGATTTGATGTTTTATCATTCTTGTGGGAGGCTTCTCTCATGTCCCCGCATGAGGAGCTGGAGCTGATAGAGGGAGCTCATCCACCTCTCCCCGGATTCGAACCTGCGACCTGTCGGTCTTCAGTCCTGCCGGCACAGGGGTTTAACCCACTGTGCCACCGGGGGCTCCGGGTTACTCAGGGACTGCCTATACTATTATAAATACGCTTCTTGACTTGGAAAACCACAATTAAAGCTGTGCCATTTTGCTGTGTTGCACATTTAACAGTTTTATTGTCTGTGACACTTAACCTGCAAGGCATAGAGGAGGTCATTTATATTTGGGGCGATTTTAAGCTAGTCTTTCCTATATTTCCTACAAGTTTCATTGCGATTATACTCCTGAAGATATTAATCTGTTTGACACTCAAGGTCTCATAACAGAAAAGCATTAATTGTAGCTTCCCCTCTCCCAATTATGGAGCAGTTCCTTCCTACAGTCTTCCCAGAGGCTTAACTTCACTTCCATTCTTTCTTTCTGTTAGCTGCCCTATGCTGGTTTGGCTTTCAGGGACTCAAGGCTAAGCTGAGAAAGGACAGGGAAATTTCTGTGAAACTGTGGTGACAGTTTCTATGATGTGTGTAAACATTAACTATGATAAACCTCAGAGGTCTTTCTGTGTTTTATCATAAGGGTGTGGCATATCAGCCTATGTTTATGCTTCAGAAATTGGTGGTAACATTGGGCATTCTGCAAAGAAACTGCTTATTGTAGTTTCTTTGCAGAATGTTGTAGGTGTTGCTGTCTTGTGTGTTTATGTTGTATATGCACCTGCATATAAAGAGACACCAAGAATAATTTCAGTGCTCTAAGTCAGAGTTTCTTAAAACTTATACTCAGGATCCCTTTTGGCCTGAGAAATATTTATGTGACACTAAGTATATAGGCTTATTAAAATATGTATATAAGCCAAACATTTCCTGATAATAAATCCACATTTGCAAGGCTTGCTAAACAGGCTGAATTTTTTTTTCTGTGGAGTACAGCTGAAGCATCTTCTGCAAAGTGCACTGTAAACATCTTGTTTTTAATCGATTGGTGTAAATAGGTGGCATTCAAAATCCTGTTATCATTACCAAATTGTTCGTGATCCCAACATTTAGCCACAGTTTAAGAAGCTCTGTTGTAAGTTATGTAGCTGTTATACGAGGGGTATTTTTTAAATAAGGTCCATTTTGTTGTAGACGCTAGTAGTTTACTCGCATACTGCAACGAGTGCGTGCGTTCTGTACCGGCATGCCTCGGGAACAACTGTGCTCAGTTTCCGCTCTGTAGCTAACCTGTACGGTTCTGTTCTGTGCTTTAAAAATGTTTAAGACTATCAACTCACCCTCCGCATGTGAGGTTCGCTCAGTGATACGGTTTTTGTCAGCAAGGAACCTGCCTGCTGCAGAAATTCATCGACAGATTTGTGAAGTGTATGGTGATACTGTTATGAGTGAAAGCAAAGTGCGTAAGTGGGTACGACAATTCAAAGATGGCCGTGACAACATCCATGATGAGGACCGCTCCGGTCGCCCTTCTTTGATTACAGACGATTTGGTGGCTTCAGTTGAAGCGAGCGAACCTCACATGCGGAGGGTGACCTCAACTGAAGCCACCAAATCGT